TTGAAAACAAGTGCATACACACGCACACACACACACACACACAGAGACACACAAAGACCCACACACAGACCCACCAAGACACACACACACACTTAAAGACACACAGAGAAACAAACCTACTGTTCAGCACATTTACACACTGTTCTAGACCAGGGTTTTTGTCTTCATACAGTGCAACACATCCCTGTTAAAATGTGATCTGTGTCTGTGTGTGTCTCTGCAGTGATCTACCACTACTGTGTGATTGTGGAGATGTTCTGCATCAGTCTGTACGCCCGCAGCACCTTCAGGAGACTGGAGCCGTGTCTGAGTGATCACACGCAGGTCCGGTGTGGGGGACATGTGGATGAGAAGTCTGTGCAGACTGATGATTGGGACCAGGTCAGGGGGCCGAACATGGACCAGGCCCGGGGCTCTGCTGCAAGAGCCCGGCTGCCCAGTGGGGATATTTTGTGTCGGATTGAGCACGCTCCATTGGAGACTTTTACCTTCCCAAGAAACATGCTAAAACCTGGAGAAGATAGTGGGGCTTCATCCACAGAGATGGAAGCGGAGAGTGCTTCTGTTACTATAGTGTGACGGACTGAATGCATGGCAGCGTTCTACAGCTAATGACATCACAGGGGAGATTCCCAGTTTATGATTTCATTTTGATTTCATAATTGACAAACGTATAGATGTATGTATGTTCTGTTACATTAGAAAGGTTTTGAGCCCACAGGTTGGAGGGAAGAGTTGCAGGAGGCAGTATGTGCTGGAGGTGCAGCAGGTGAAGGAGGTACAGGAGACATAGGTGCACAAGGTACAGGCGGTGCATTTTTTTTACAATAATCGTCAAAGATGAGACGTCTTTGACTACTATTGCCACTGTTTCTTTAATTGCCACTTTTTATTGTACATAGTATATCCTGCACAGACTATATTTTTGCCTTTAGTATGTTTGCACACTTTTGTCTTTTGCACAAATCTTGAGTGATTCTATCCATGACAAATGTGACATGTAAATTTCTACTGTGTGAGATCAATAAAGTCTATCTCATCTTATCTTATCTTCAATAGAGAGCTCGTATCAAAACAACACAATACAATATATACAATATAATAGAATAAGAACTAAGTACAAATAAATAAATAAACCAAAAAAGTTAGTTTAGTTTGTGTCAGGGGATTTCATTGAAGAAGTCTTTTCTTATTCATCACATTCAGCAGTGAGTATATTACATTTTTTATATCACTTAAAAATAGGGAGAAATACAACTGTGAAAATGTTTTCCTTGTGAATAAGAAAAACTTATCAAACAGAATTTAAAAAATAAATATATAGTGAAATGATTTCATGGTTGTGTTATCTTCAAAACAGCAGATATCTTTGAATGTAAAACAAAATTGTTTGGACACTTTTTGAAAATATAGTTACCAAATTGGGCCGACAGTAGCTCAATTTGGTAGAGCATTGGCCTCAGGGCCTGAAGATTGTGGGTTCAAGCCCACAATGAGACCTACTTCACAACTCCCACTGGTGTCTGCTGTTGTTGTGTCCTTGGGCAACACTTAACCTCACTGTTGCATCGTGTCCTTGGGCAACACTTGTGGCACCACTGATGTAGCATCCATCTTCCTGTGAACTCACCACCTGCTGGAGGATCATCGAGGGACTGGTGCTATGAGCATTGGGTGGCAGCTCTGAATGTCACCCCCGACCCAGAAATGGACTAATAAAGGGGTAGAAAAAACTTTGCTGATGTCGTAGAATGGGTTTGAAAACAAGGCTGGATGAAGCATGTTCCAGCTAGAACAGGGGTCTCATGGACATCAAAGTTTATTGTTGGTGCGGGCCAAGCCCCGGTGATCCAAGATGGCGCCCTATTCAAATGAATGGCTTGTGCTCAGTAGTGCATGGGACTTCACGGGGACCGGGAGATTAGCAGAACTCACCTATATTTGGGCATCGTCTGGTCCTCCCGGTTCTGCGCAGTGGACGAGCTTCCACGATGCGTTGCGCCAAAAACACGTGTGTGGCTCTCATGCACGTGCACAGAGGAGCACGGCCGCGTGCTGACATGGTGCTGACCAATCAGGCGCTGCTGATCAGAGCGGAGCTAGAGTGGAGTTAGAGTGGGGAAAAAAACAAGCGAGTTTGTTGCACTAACGTGTGGATATAAACAAAACCAATGAAAAAGGACACTAAAATCCCCAAAAATATCACCTTTGTGAAAGCTGTAGGTTCTCTACAGCCCCCGAGCCCATGGGTCCTTCAGCTGCTTTTTTACTTTTGAATGCGCTGGAAAAAGGCAGCAAGTCCTAAGTAGCTCGGAAACAGTTTTTATTTTTGTAGCTTTTTTGTACCTGAGATGTTGCTGCAGTACAGTTTTCATGGTTTACACTGGTCCAGACCAGAGCAGAGAGGATTCATGGTCCGATCAGGAGGATCAGGTGAAATTCCACTGGAGGAATGCTTTTTGAATAATGCTAATGAAGCATTTAGCATTTTACTTTGGACTAGAGCAGAGAAAATGGTCCGAACCAAGCGTCTACTCCACCTTGTGACCCGTCCTGCTCCACCCAGAGACCACTCCATCTCTGCTCCTGTGACGTGTCCTGCTCCACCCATCTCTGCTGCTGTGACCTGAAGGGCTGTTGCTGATTATTACTATTGTTAGCTTTTTAGAATGATAAATTTTATTTTTGCTGCTACTGGACTCCGGAATTTCTCCTACAGGGATCAATAAACTATCTATCTATCTATAAGCTAGTAATACCCTATGCAGATATTCTCGGAAATGTCTCCTGTGAGACGAACATGGGAATATTCTTATCTTGATCTATAGATCCATGGGTGCTCCACACATGGTCAGATAGGCAGAGGGACAGAAGGCGTCCGTCCATTCTTTCAGAACAGCTGACTGACTGGTGGATTGTATGATACCAGTGTGTGACGCTCTCATACTTAAGTGCAATGGGCTCACTGAAGTATCTTCTTCTTGACAGAAAATGTGTGAGCTGAACAAGTTTACAGCGGAGAGACGGGAAGAGGCGGGCTCAGACGGAGAGGATCTCAACCCGTCCAACAGTGCTCTACAGGGGCTGACTGTCACACAGCTGCGCACAGAGGAACTGGACGGCAGCCTGAAGGTGGTCTACCCCTCCAAAACAGACCTTGGCTCATGCCCTGGTCTCACGCTGCTCTGGGAGTGAGACAGATAGAAACACTTTGCTAAAGTAAAGCTGCAGACCCTCACAGACTGTTGCACCTAACATATTCTTCTACTGCATTGTGTAAATAAATCTGGAATCTGCCTAATACACTTTCTAAATAATGAGTGGTGTTTGTCTGTCCTGTGAGTTGGCCTGGTCCATCCAACAGAATCTCCAGCACTAGAGTTGGTGCTAAAGTCAGAGATGATTTCAGGAGAAAGGTGCTGGTCCCGGGGCTCTGACGCTCCTCAGACTCGCAGCGAGATGGTGGCGGCTGGTTACTGATGCAATAGGTCCAACAAAAGAAGACCCTAGGAAGAAGTGAACACTTTCCTCTAGACCTTTTATTCTAATGTCTACGTCACAGCTGTTCGCACTAAAGGAACACACTCTCTGGGCACTGCACTGGTACAAGGACAATATACAAAACAATACCAGTGAAATAAATACAAGAACTTGACGTACAGTAAAATATTACAAACATAATCCCATTTGTTACTATATTCAAAAGTATTTTTCTCTCCAGGGGAAGTTCAAAATGTGAGCAAGAAATGCAACAATAAAAACACAGAAATGTATGTCAGAAAGTCAGAGACTGTATCTTAATAATAATTATTAACGGCTTATTAACCGAGCGCGAGGTCTGTATGGAGAAATATCAGACCACGGCCTTAATGTACAGAACGAGCCGTGGCGAGGTCTGTGCAAAAAGGCCTCTGTACAGACCGAGCAAGCGAGGTTAATAAATGTTTTATTATATGACTTTTTAATTTATGCAAATATCGATCTCCGACTTGGTTTCCCTAATTGTGTTTTTAGCTTTCTGGTCTGCAACGAAGTTGTCAATCTCATCTTGTCTGTTAGTGATTTTTTCTTCGTTATTTTCTGTAATTTCTTCCTCTGGCTCGTCAAACTCGTCTGATAATAGAATTCACTGGAGAATGCTCCCAGTTGTCGCCCATTATTTCTTTTTTCCGAGGAAACTCAGGAAAGAAATCAAGGCAAGGCAAGTTTATTTATATAGCACAATTCATACACAAGGCAATTCAAAGTGCTGAACAAAACAAGAAAGCATTAATCATAAATAATCACAGAACATTAAAAAGAAAGATACAAATATAAAATCCCTCAGTTGTATGCACAGCTAAACAGAACTGTCTTTAACCTGGTTTTAAACATTGTCAGAGAGGAGGCCTGTCTCACATCTTCAGGAAGACTGTTCCAGATTTTAGCAGCATGAATCTGAAAAGCAGCCTCCCCATGTTTAGTTCTGACTCTGGGCACTAACAGGAGGCCAGTCCCTGTGCTCCTCAGAGTCCGGGCTGGTTCATATGGGACTAACATGTCACTAATATATTTTGGTGCGAGGCCATGGAGAGACTTGTACACAAGCAGAGCTGTTTTAAAGTCTATTCTCTGAGCCACAGGAAGCCAGTGCAGAGACCTGAGGACTGGACTAATGTGGTCGTACTTCCTGGTTCTTGTCAGGACTCGAGCTGCTGCATTTTGAATGTACTGCAGCTGTTTTACAGCCTGTTTGGACAGACCTGTGAGCAGGCCATTGCAGTAGTCTAACCTACTGGAGACAAATGCATGGATAAGAATCTCCAAGTCTGCTTTAGACACTATGTTTTTGATCCTGGCAATGTTTTTTAGATGGTAAAAAGCTGCTGATGTTACTGATTTGATGTGGCTATTAACATTTAAGTCTGAGTCCAGTATTACCCCTAGATTTCTGACCTTGTTTGAAGGTTTTAGGGAGAGAGACTGTAGGTGACAGATGACGCTCTCTCTTTGTTTCTGGGGACCAAAGACAATCATTTCAGTTTTGTCTGCGTTTAGGAGTGAGTCCACTGGTCCATGTTCTCCTGCAGTCAGTGAGACATAGATCTGAGTGTCGTCTGCATAGTTATGATAGGAAACTTTGTTTCTGCGTATTAACTGACCTAATGGCAGCATGTAGAGATTGAACAGAAGAGGTCCCAGGATCAACCCCTGTGGGACTCCACAGGTCAGGGCCATATGATCTGAGACACAGTTTCCAATCTCCACAAAGTACTTCCTGTCCTCAAGGTAAGACCTAAACCAACTTAGGGCGGTGCCAGCGACTCCAACCCAGTCCTCTAATCTCTGTAAGAGGATCTCATGGTCGACAGTGTCAAAGGCAGCACTTAGATCTAACAAGATTAAGATTGAGACTTTGCCTGCGTCAGTGTTCAGCCGGATATCGTTTGTAACCTTGACAAGAGCAGTCTCAGTGCTGTGGTGGGGTCTAAAGCCGGACTGAAACATATCAAATGAGTTGTTGATTATAAGAAATCTAGTAAGCTGTAGGTAGACAACTTTTTCAAGGACTTTCCCCATAAATGGCAGATTTGAGATGGGACGATAGTTGTTAAGTACCGTAGCATCGAGACTGCTCTTTTTTAGCAGGGGCCTGATGACTGCAGTTTTCAGGGCCTTTGGGAATATTCCAGAATGAAGGGACATGTTTACTATCTGTGTGAGTGAAGGTAACAGACTGCTCAGAACAGACTTCAGAAATCTAGTGGGTAGTACATCCAAGCTGCATGTGGAGGAGCTCAAACTGGAGATTATCTCTTGGACAGTTTTATCATTTACAGGTGCTAAGTGAGTTAGCTCAGAGAGCCTTTCTGGCTGTTGGATGGTTATCTGTGGATTGGAGACAATGGCGTTTTTAATGCCTTGAACCTTGTCATTGAAAAAATTAGCAAACTCATTGCATTTACGTTTGGAAGTAAGCTCTAATGGCATTTGAACAGGGGGGTTTGTTAATCTATTAACTGTTGAACAGAACACGCAGATTGTTGCTGCAGCCTTCAATCATTTCAGAAAAATACCTTTCTCTCGTACTACGTAGCACCCGGTTAAACTCGCACAACTTATCTTTGAAGATCTCGTAATCAACCTGGAGGTTGGACTTGCGCCACTTCCGCTCGGCCCTCCGGCACTTTCTCTTTTGTGCCCTGACCGAGTCTGCTTTAGCCCACGGCGCCTTCTGCTTATTTTTCACTATTTTAACCTTCACAGGGGAAACGGTATCCAGAACATTCAAAACACTAGAGGTGACAGAGTTAAACAGTTCATCTACAGTAGAATACGATGCATTCTCAAAGTTTATCATTCCCATAAATAGTTCACTCGTATTTTCATTTATGTGTCTTCTTCGTACAGTTGCAGAGTCCACGGGTGGTTTGTTAGTGAAACACATGTCAAAAAAAACACAGAAATGATCCGAAAGAGCAACATCGACCATGTTTACATTTGAAATATTCACCCCCTTAGTAACTAACAGATCTAGAGTGTGCCCTCTGCTGTGGGTGGGGCCACTTACGTGCTGAGTGAGATCAAAGGATTCAAGTAGTAGTAGTCATCAACATTATCCACATGAATATTAAAATCACCTGTAATAACCAAACTATCAAAATCTGTGCATACAACTGAAAGAAACTCGGTAAAATTATCAGTAAAACTGTGACATGACTGCGGTGGCTTGTATAGGACAATGAAGAGTATTGGAGGAGATTGTTTTTGTTGTATTTTAAAAGACACATATTCAAATGATGAAAACTTCCCAAGAGACATTCTATGGGAGACAAAGGGGTCTCTAAAAATGGCAGCTAAGCCTCCTCCTTTTTTGTTTTCTCGTATTTCAGCTTCAAACTTGAAATTTGGTGGTGATGCTTCTATTAAAACTGCGTTTCCTGAATTTTGGTCAAGCCAAGTTTCAGCCATGAACATAAGATCAAGATTATGAGAACAAATAAAATTATTGATTAAAAAAGACTTGTTACAAAGAGATCTGACATTAAGCGTAGCAAGTTTCAAAGTTTCAGTATCAGCGGTTGCGGTCGGCTGATTCTTACACGGAACAAGAATTAGATTTTCCAGATTAGACTGATTAACTCCAGATGTTTTTCTGTAATGTATTCTTTGTGTTATCACTAAGGGAATGGCACAGGTGGCTTCATGACAGGGCCCCAGCCGGGTCTCTCCTCTAACTAGACTGCCAGTGGCTGCGAAGCAGAGACCCTGTGCATCCTAGTGTTTAGAGAAAAGAGGGGAAGGGGAGGAGGATGGATGGTGGGTGGCTTTTGGGTGTTGAACGAGGGGGGCAGGGAGGTGGAGGGGTTTTTGGTGATGGGTTAGGGCTGGGGTGGGCTGAGGCAGAGGTTTTGGATGTTGAACGAGGGGGAAGTGGGGGTGGAATGGTCATGAGGTTAGGGGAGGGACTGGCTGAAGTGGTTTTTGTAGGTGAATTGGAAACCCTAGGTGGTTTTGGAGGTACATATGGGGAGTGGTTTAGAATGTTGGACAGGACTCTAGATCTAGCTAATATGGGTGTGAGAGGAATAGTCTTCATCGCCGATTTTATTAGCCCTGCAGAGTGTTCAGGTAGGTCTAACAGTGAAGGCGGGGATGAAAAACAAAGGGACGTGTCCCCATTCTCTCTTGATGGAGTGGACGTGGCAGGGGGGACCCAAGACAGGTCCATGGGAGGTGGCGAGGGAGTCTTTGATGGAGGGGCAGGTGGTTGAGGAAACCCCAGCACAGGCCTGTCTGCTGTAGGCTGGGGTGAGGATGGGGGCTTCAGAGGCGCTGTAGATGAAGGCGTGGCTGCTTTGGAGCAGGCTAGGGATGAGGATGTTGGTGGTGGTCGTGCTGCTGGTGCTGCTACTGGTGATGATGCAGCTGCTGCTGGTGATGATGCAGCTGCTGCTGGTGATGATGCAGCTGCTGCTGGTGATGATGCAGCTGCTTCTGATGACAGTGGAGGTGTTGAGATCCTTTGAGGTGGTGGTGGTGTTGAGATCCTTTGAGGTGGTGGTGGTGTTGAGATCCTTCGAGGTGGTGAAGGTGTTGAGATCCTTCGAGGTGGTGGTGGTGTTGAGATCCTTCGAGGTGGTGGAGGTGTTGAGATCCTTCGAGGTGGTGGTGGTGTTGAGATCCTTCGAGGTGGTGGAGGTGCAGAGACTTTTAGAGTCGGCTTCCTCCCTTTCGATGGCTGCATGCGCTGCGCAGGCTGAGGTCTTAGGGCAAAAGAAAGGTTATCCATCAACACTTTTACTCCGTAAGTGTTCAAATGTGGCCCTTTCCCTTCAAAAAGCTCATGCCTATTCCAGAACAGATTAAAATTCTTAATGAAGGCAAGTCCTCTGCGTGAACATTCGTTGAGTAGGAAAGTATTTAGCTGATACAGACGACTGAATTTCATTTGCTTCCCGTCCACATTTGGTAGTGGGCCACTGATAATGATTGTTGCGTCCATTTTAGCAAGGTCGTCCAATAAGAGAGAGTAATCCCGTTTCAACTTTTCACTTGTGTTGTCATAGACGTCTACTGCCCCCACGTGGATCAACAATCTTTTTACCCCGCCGGTCTCAGACAGAAGCCTCGGAGCCAACCGCCTTATCTCATCCACTTTGGCAGAGTGTACTGAGTGAACCTTGAGATTACGCATGTTTACATGTCTTATCGCAGAATCGCCGATAAAGAGCGACTCAGCTGCATTTGACCTTGACTGAGACTGAGACTGGGACTGAGACGCTACTGCTGATTCATCTTCCAAAAGTGGTGAAAAGCGGTTTCTTGTAATTAAAGATTTTTGCTGTGGCATTATGACACTCTTGTTATCATTAGCTTTGCCTTGTTTGGGCTTGGCACCATATGTGTTCCAACAATTGTCTCTGTTGATTTTGGGAAATGAAATAGCGTCATCATAACTTACGTTCTGTCCATTTGGTCCATTTCCCTTCACTGGTATTGTTGTGTTCAGCCCCAATTCTGATTCAAGCACAAACATTCGGTCTCGAAGAAGTTTTAGCTCCTGTTTGAGTGAAAAACAGCCGTCGCAAAGTTTTGTTATTTTTTCCCGTCCTCCCGACATGCTGTAAGTTAGGTAAATTCCACAAGTCTTGTGTTGAAGTTTGTAAAAAGGAGTAATCCGTGTTTTGTGGAATAAAAATGTAAGCAAAAATGATTAAAGGAGATAAAAAAGCAGCAAGCGAGGAGCAGCAAGAGAATGTGACTGCTCTGTCCAGAGCGCAGAGAGAACCATGAAGACGGTGCGTATCAATTGTGATACGCGCTGCGGACTGATTGTCATGGTAACGGAAAGATATCAAATGTGATATGCGCTGTTCGGACCAATTGTCAGGGTAACGGTCTGAGATGGGAAAATATCAGACCGGTAATCAGCCAATCAGAGCGCGCATACGGTCCAAGTCATATAATAAATGTAATAATTGCCCTACTGTCCTTTGTAAACTGTTTTAAATGAAAATATGTCTTTGACCACTGCATCCTATTGCCAAATGTACATAAATACTTCATGCACTGCGTGGCTATAACCCCATCAACACCTTGAGGACAAAAGCAGGATGTTGATGGGGTTATAGCCATCAACACCTTGCTCAAGTAACTATGACAAAATTGGATGTTTCTTGAGCAGTTTAAGACCTCAGACTCACTTGTATAAAACCTTGTGTCATCATAAAAAGTGAGCATTTCTGAAAAATAGTCTTTTAAATCAGGAATGTGGTTTGGAAACTAGTTAAGGTCAAAGGGACATGATGCTTCTCTGAATGATGTCCACACACTCCTGCATTTGGTGCTCTGTGATGGTGAGGGGCGGGGCCAGTCGGATCACGGAGCCATGACTGGTGTTTTTGGCCAACAACCCGTTGTCACGGAGACGCAGGCACAGCCTCCATGCATCCCAGTCTGAAAGGACATTTGTAAATACACTTATACAAAGAAAGGATACAACTAAAACACACTACTTCGTTATCAACAAAGCTCATAACATACATGACATTAGCCACCAGTGCACTCATTTATAACAGAACATTTTTGTGTTCAAACCACTGAACTGGCACACACTTTTTTACTTTGCACATGCAGTTTAGCTCCTGGATGAATATAATATACCACTACATTTTAAACTGGACATATTCTCATCCACTAGACACAAGAGAAAGTAAACGTTTGGACTCGTAGAAAACAGGAAAACCAAGAATCAAGCGTTTTATCATTAAGATATTTTGACCAAATAAATACTTAAAAACAATAAAAACATGAGTTTGATATATTTTATATATATTTCTATGAACTAAAAGAAACCAACTGCTTGAATTGAAACAAAACTGGACGAAAAGCAATAAGGCTTAGTATTGTAGACTGGGTTTAATGCTTACTTTGACTATTATTGCTTTTTGCATTCAGGATTCAATGTTTATGGTAAAATAAATGGCATGGTTGTTTTATTGATAGAATTAGCTTTACAACGATTTGCACAGACTCTCAGTGAGGCACTGAAGTTTGATGTCCACTAGGGGGCCACAAAACACCTTTAAGCGGGCCGCATGTTGGAGACCACTGATGGTGAGTCTGGAGTCGGTACTGATGGAGACATGAGAGTAAAACTGATGTGTGTGGAGCAAAGTGAAAAGAGACTGTGCATTATTTCTATTGTCTTGGCTGTTTGAACCGTCTGCTGCTGCTGCTGCTGCTGCTGATGATGGGGCATCAGGGGGTTTGTGAGGTCACATGTCATTGACAGTGTTGGGGCGTAACGGAAAACATGTAACACCATTACGTATTCAGAATACTCTTTACAGTTACTACTTTAAAGTCTGGTATTTAGAATACAGTTACTTTCTGAAAATTACGGGAATAAATACTTTTTCCACATTACATTGATAAGGTTGAAAAAGAAAAAAAAACCTTTGCAGATTCTACTTTTTTATGGTTAAACAAAAATAAACCAAAAATTATTGGATTATTGATTACACTGACACTCTAGTATTTTAAAGAAAGATCATCCAAACTCTAGTTTGTTCAGATTAATAAAAATAAATCAGTACCAGTTTACTATGAAACGTAATCATTTTTGAAATCTTATAGCTTCTGAAAGGCCCTGTATGGCTCTGGTGGACGTACCTTTGGTCTGGGTGATGACCAGTCCCTGCAGCAGGCCTCTCCCTCGCACCTCCTGCACCACGTCTTTGGGCAGTTTGCTCAGACCGCTCTGCAGCAGTCGGCCCATCGCAGCGGCGTTCTCCGCCAGCTTCTCCTCCTCCATGACCTGCAGGGCAGCCATGGCTACGGCACAGGCCACTGGGCTCCCTCCGAATGTGGAACCGTACTGCCCCACACGGATGGAGGAAGTGATGTGGTCGTCAAACAGCACCGCAGAGACCTGCACCATGGAAACACATTCCTACAATCATGTTTCTATTAGAGGATTTATATATTTATATATTTAATAACATTTGTAACACATTAAATGTATCTCTTACCACATTATTACCTGTATTTGCTTGAGAGAGAGGGAGAGAGAGGGAGAGAGTGCAAATTCCTTTTTTCTTATGCCAACTGACAATAATGGGATTCTCAGTATTGCCAATTCGACTAATATGTTATTTATCTTTTTTAAACGTGACATTTCTAGAGACACAAGCAATACCTGTTTAAAAATGGTGACAAACATTTATTAATTACAGGCCGTTTTCCTTGCTACCAAAAATTTCAAACATTTGTCTCAACAACTTCATTATGAAATTTCACAAATGAGCACAGGATCAGATAAGATAAGATGTGCTTTATTTATCTCACAATGGGGGAATTTACATGTCACATTGGCATGGATAGAAACACTCAGATTGTCCAAAAGAAAGAAATGTGCAAACATGTTACATGCAGGATAATTATGTAAAACAAAAGTGTCAATCATCTATTCAAAACTATCAGTCTTTCAATGCATTATAATAGATATTTTCTCAGTGGCTTTGGTGCATTTCTCACATCATTCTTCACATTTGCACAACAGTTTGTGCATGTCTCGGGACATTTAGTGCAAACTGCAAAACCTGGTAGATAATCTGCAAAAGTGCGTCTCTTTCTCAAAATGAAAAGTTAATTCATACCTGGTGAGAGCCCTCCCTCCAGTCTTACTCTAACCAGATAGACTCCTCCCTCCAGCCCTCCTCTCACCAGGTACTGTAGAGCCCTCCCCCCAGCCCTCCTCTCACCAGGTACTGTAGAGCCCTCCCCCCAGCCCTCCTCTCACCAGGTACTGTAGAGCCCTCCCCCCAGCCCTCCTCTCACCAGGTACTGTAGAGCCCTCCCTCCAGCCCTACTCTCACCAGGTAGACCCCTCCCCCCAGCCCTCCTCTCACCAGGTAGACCCCTCCCCCCAGCCCTCCTCTTACCGGATAGACTCCTCCAGACAGCGACTTCCCCAGAATGAGGATGTCCGGCCGAACGCTCTCGTGGTCCACGGCCAGCCGGCGTCCAGTGCGACCCATGCCCGTCTGGACCTCGTCTGCTATCCATAGCACCTAAAACAACCTTTGGTGAATAACCTTTTATGTATATATAAAAGTATTAATCAAAACGTTAAAATATCTTTAAATTGAACAAGTTGTATTTAACAAAACTGTAATCACTGAAGGTAGGAAAAGCATTTTCATAAAAGGAACAAATTTACAAATACAAATAAAATAAAAGCCGCAAGCGGCGTCGAACGGCCCTCGCCGCACTGCGCAAAGGAGGTGGCGCAGCCACGCCATTGTTTGCTCCCATAGCCATAGAACAATGTGTGTAAATTTTCAATGAATATGATCAGTTGTTTTGGCTCCTCATGTAAAACTTTGGCTCACTCTGTAGGGGGCGCTAAAGAGACAATGTAGTATTTCACACCTTCAGGTGACCTAGGCCCAGGAGTAACACAACCGAGTCAAGTTTAGTACAAATCAGACTTCGTATGTGTAAACAGGAGCACATGTATAATCTGCGAGTGTGCCCATATACTGTACGTGTGACACGTACGTCTTTCGATGTGTGACGTGACAATGACTATATAAACTGTGTACTGACTCCATTTTGATCTGAGAGAAAGAAACAATTGAAACCACTGGAACTTGAGAGAAACCAAAATAAACTTCCAGAGTTTGGCGCACCACGATCCGTCTCTGTCTGGTTCATTCCTGACAATACTGTGAGTGTAATGTCGATTTCATCTGTGTTGTGTGTGAAACAAACCCAGCATAAGGTCTTTAAGTGGACTTAGGGGGCTTACACACCTGTGATCTTTCATCAGAACTGTTCAGTATTATCTGAAATATGATTGGACGCCCTGTTGTGACTTACGTTGTATTTGTTGCAGAGATTTCGGATCTGGGTGAGGTACCCAGGGTTTGGCACCACCACTCCTCCGTCGCCCTGGATGGGCTCCACCATGAAGGCTGCGGTGTGGGGGTCCTGCAGAGCTGTCTGGAGGAGCAGAGTCAGTCACAATCACTATAATAATGATAATGCATACATAGTGGTAATAAACGACTACTGTAGCCACAGCTGCCCTGGGGCACACTGACAGAAGCAAGGCACTCAGCATGAGCCATGGGCCCCTCGGACTACCACCAACCATTCACACACACACTCATTCTAGGCAATGTGGGTGAAGTGTGATGCCAAACGATAGTTTGGCACTTTACAGCCGCAATTCTTTTTTACAAATCTACCCGTGCAGCCACCGTGCCCGGTCGGTTTGAGAGAAGATGACACTATGTTCTGCTCCATTACTACAGTACTTATCATAAAAGAGCCGTTGCTGGACGTGTGGCTCACCTCCAACGCAGGGATATGGTCGTAAGGGATGAGCTCAAAGCCGGGCATGTAGGGCCCGAATGCCTCAGTAATGCAAATGTCTGAGGAGCTGGAGAAGGCGGCCAGAGTGCGGCCCCAGAAGTTCCCATCTGCAACCGAACAAACATAAGTTACTGGGAGAATTTGTGTTTCTAAGCACTCTATTTGAATCCAGACAATAGCTACAATATATTGAAAAAATCCTGATCCACAAACCCAATATATTATATAATAATTCAAATATTAACAATGTAGTATACAACAACTGATTTGCCCTCTACAATTATGTCTTCAGAATGTTTTAAAATAGGACTGCGGGAGACAAAAGTGAGGTAGATATTGAAAGATTTTAGACATTCCACCGTGGTAGGATAAGTTCCACGTCCGATCTCTCAGCTGCCAGTACTCTGTGTAGGAAACCCAAGGCTTATATCCCTTGTATCTTGTTCTTTGGGTCATCCCCTCCTGACCATAGTGGATGGTGGGAACTATTCTTGGCTTGCAGTCACATGACGCATCAACTTCCGGTTACTAAAGTGGTGGTCAGGCCAACAAAAATGCTAAGAAATTGTTACTCTTCTTCTGAGTATTTTCGTGCTCTTTTTGATATTTGATGACACTTTGAAGCTACTGTGGTTAAAGTTCTAACTCATCATTCTAACAATGCACAAGGCAGTATTTTTCCACTACATGTTTTGGTAATATCAAGGTTGAAGCCATGCTGATATGCTGAATGCTGATAGTTCTCCATTCCTATCACTTGCATTCTGTAACATCTTTGTTTGTGCTGTCTCTACCATTGACAATAAAACATGTCTTCTGTCTGAATTAAAGACAATCCTATACTGTCGTTTTCTTCACTTTACATTCTAATTCTCATACATCGAAAGAGTCAAATTGTGTAACAGTAAAGATTCTAATGCGTTATCCAAGAATGATTTGATTTGCCAGTTCAACTCCCGTATATCTCAAACTAGTGTTACAATCAAGCTTTTGCACTGCTGAACAAATGAAGGCTTGGAAAAGCATGGATGCTACAACGGTCTGTGGGTTAAGGAACTCAGAGTTAAGGTCCTGAAGAACAAATCCTGCATCATAAAGAGCCGTGTAAGTAACAATTGGTATGAACTTGTCATTCTCAACAAAATGATGAACATGTGTGCTGTGTTCTTTTCAGGTCAAACATTCACAGTGTTTATCGCCAATTCATACCTGAAAGTTAATCAAAAAAAAGTTGGGAATGTAATATCTGCACAATGTGACTGCATGGTTGGGTAAATAATCCTTGCGAACCACTTTTCTCTACGTCTTTTTGTTAAGTCCTTAGTGTGAGGCTCTTTATTCATCTCTTCACAAGGAACCCTAAAGTTTCCTTTATCTGTTTCGCAATTAGATCGCTTAGAAGAACCTAACACAACACACGCAAACGGCATATTCAAACATGCTGCTCTATTAAACAACTAGCTTGGCTGACCACCACTTCGCGATACGCATAAGTAATGAGGCGGACGTTATGTCAATTGCAAGCAAGCAATTAGCCTGACTCTCGCCAGACCCTTGTAGATCGCTGTGCTTCAGCTAAACGCGTCTGATTGAGGCTAGGAAACTATACCTGTGCATAAAATCCACAGCTACTGTATCTAAATCAGGTCTAAAACTGGACTTTTCTGGGTTTTGGGCATGGATCTATAATAATAACTGGATAGGGTATTACTATCTTATAGCTGTCCCCCCCATGGGCACAGGGGGTGCCCGTGTTACCGCAGACTAAATTCATGTGCACTACCCAGAAATTTTCCCCATAGATCTCAATGTAAATTAATACAGCTCGACCTCAGCTGACAGAGAACCTACAGCTTTCATAAAGATTGGATTTTGTGGGGATTTTAGTGTCCCTTGTCATCCTGAACTTTTTATCTTCTTAAATGCCACACACGCGTATTTGGCGCGAAACGCATCATGGGAGCTCGTCCACTGCGTAGAACCGGGAGGACCAGACGATGCCCAAGTATCCACTGTGAGGATGCATTCTTGTTTAGAATTAAAATGTGAAGTTTTCCACGGACTCCAATCACCTTTTACATTTTCGCCCAGCCCCTACATGGGTTAAAGAGTGTGAGAGGAAACCAATGCGAGATGAGGACAAAGGACAAAGCAGAGGGACATAGGGACACACAAGAAAGTCAAACACAGGTCCCTTGTGCATTTACGTCACATTGCTGTTAGAGTTCTGATTAAAGCACGAAATCACAAGAATCTCACATACGATCTGTGAGAATTTTACAGTTAGCAGTTATGACGGATTCTCTGAAAATTGATTCTCTAAAATGCAACATCAGTCAGATGTTGAAAACATCTGACTGATGTGTTCTTTTTCTGACTTCGTTTCGGTGTTTCACTATGGGAATCGTCTTGGGCGTGACCATCCATGGAAGCTCCAATGGCACCACGTCTGTCTTTTAACAAACAGGTTGACAGTACCTAGCACCGCCCACCTACCCTGGTACAGTCAACCTCCTCCTTTTGGAATCATTCTCGCTTTCTTCCCGCGTGGTAACCATATCTTAGCTCCTTCAGCGTTCTCAGACCTTAGGCTAGCTTCTGCTTAACAGTTCACAGACGAGCCGTAAAAGATTTCGTTGGCGAGCGCAGTTGCTGGTGCTTTGGTTCACAGACGCTGGGTAAGTCCTTACAGTCTTACCGCTAAGCAATTATTGTTTTGTTACCGGAGCAGTGACCGCGTCAAACGGCTCTTGTGTTTACGGGGACAGATCACATTATGTTGCGGTCTGTCCTGTCACCTTGCGGTTAGCATTCACTTGTTAACCCAGGGCTCTCGCGTAAAGCGGAGTCCTTCTGTTCGGTTGGCTGGTATTAATTTACTGGCCAACAGATTGTAGTGCGCGGTTCTGTTAACGTGTTGTGGCGAACAGAATTGGCCTGGACCTGATTTTTCGACTTAACCCTTTAGGTTTAAGTTTTTTCAAGAAATTTCAAAAGGCTATAACTTTAAAATGGTTTGAGATAAAGGCATACTGTAAATTAGAAATATCTTCACCAAACTTTGGGATGGAAGTTGATTCGTCATCTAATTTGCATATTGTGACGTCATCAAGGTGGCGGCCATTTTGGAAAATTTGAATTATTGTATAAACACTTCAAAAAGCTGTAGCTTGGGAGTTATTTGAGATCAGGGAATACTATAAACAGTCAATGTGAAATATCTTTAGTATGAAATGAATTCGGGATAGAAAGAAATTCCATGATCCAGATTATAGATAATGTTTTAGCACTGGTTCGCGGCCATATGGAATTGTATTATTTTCAAAGGCCTTCAGTGATCAAGACAGCACTCTTTATAGTTTACAGTCATGAAATCTGGAGATTGGTTTCAATATTTCCCTTTCAATGAAGTGGTGGGCATACACATTTCTCAGTGGAAATGATGCTCCAGGATTTATCGTTTAGAAACAGAGAGATGAAATTAATGGGCACAGAACATGTCAGATCGTTTCAACAAGAAACAACAGGCTCTTCAACACTTCTGATCCACTTTTGTAGATTATTTTCTCTCAAGAACTGCCTTCATCCTCATCATCGCTGTTGGTAAAGGCAGTGAACGCGATTAGCGATTTCCCGCAGCTCCCCCGCGACTTCTCCTGCGTCTTCCGTGTTCCCCGTGGAAGTCTACCCCCGCTACTTTCTTCCACATGCCCGGTGTTATGATGCCCCTGTCCCCTCCACCACGGCCCCTGCTTGGTGTTCACAGAATGCTTCTATCGCGGCCACACAGAGGACAAGCAGCCGCTGTACTGGGCCTGATTGTGGACTATATGGCGCGATCTCCCCGTCACCAATAATGTCCGTATCTGCTTCACTGGACACCTGTGTGTCTTCCTCCTCTGAATCTGAGTGAGCTAGTACCAGACCAAGTACTTCTCTGGTACTGAAGACCTCGTGAGTAAAATAGAAAACACTCTTTCCCTCTGCTCTGCTCTCGCTCCTCTCAGCTCTACTGCTGCTGCTTCGCCTCCGTGCCGCTGCGCCGCAGGTGTTTTACTCAAAAACTTTTAATATAACCACACCCACAAATGCTGCTCATATTACAGGCACACATGTCCACTAACCCCAGGTGAAAAGTATTAATAAGATTCTGCACCACATTTTTACATACAGCCTGTTTAAGTGAGCAATGTTGCTTGTCGCAATATTGCGACTTTTGCGCTTAAAGGGTTAAAACCCAAATTTTCTGGTTCATACAATCTTGCTCACTCTAGCTCTTCGCTCTCTGTCAGGCATGTCTACGGCTACCACCCCCGCCAAAGGGCCGGATCCGAAGCCGAAGGAGGCTGCATCCCGCTCATGCCCCACGTCATGCGGGTCTGCCATCTCAGGCAGGGACCCTCATCCGATGTGCATAACCTGCATGGGCGCTAAACACGCTCAGGCAGCGCTCGCTGACCGCGAGTCCTGCGGGTACTGCGCATCTATGCCTGAGAAAATATTGGAGAGGAGGCTCAGAGTTGCTGTGGCTCATCCCCAGGACCAGTTGCTGGCGGGGACCACCGATGAATCCACAGCCGTCACTCAGCAGACCCGTAAGACTGAACTATGGTCACATATGCTGAATGACGATGACGCTGATATGCCGCCATTATTCGAGGACCTGCTCAGGCGACGAGGGCGCAGACGGCGCTGATGCCGCTTCTGACTTCCTCGAGGCTGTGGATATGGACGATGTGGAGGAGGACTCCACATTCCCAGCGGCCCAGTCCCGACCCTAAGTAAGCACGCTATCCGCATTGTACCAGAGAGCGAGTCTCAGCTGGGCTTCTACTCCCGCTACTTTCTGGTTCCAAAGAAGGGCTCTCTGTCACTGCGTCCCATTCTAGACCTCCGTGTTTTGAACACACATCTACGGAGATTGAGATTCAGAATGTTGACGCACAAAGCCTTGTGTCGTTCAATACGCAAAGGGGATTGGTTAACCACAATCGATCTTGCGGATGCATATTTCCACATCGAGGTGCATCCAGCACGCAGGAAATTCCTCCGCTTTGCTCACGGAGGAACAGCGTACGAGTACCAGGTCATTCCCTTCGCTCTCTCCCTAGCCCCACGGATGTTCACCACTTGTGTGGAGGCAGCTCTGGCTCCTCTCCGGGCCAGGGGAATACGGATATTCTCTTATGTGACCAGGTCATTGTAATACATCAATTAAACTAAGGAGACTCAAATGGTCAGTACAACATCAATATTTATTTCATGAGAGTATTAAAAGTAATGTATTCAAATGGTTAAAAATCATCAATTCGAGTTTCAAAACAGTTTAAAACCATGCAGTGCAATATTAGTCTCACAGCAAAACCATGCAAGAGGGGTGAGATCAAATACAAATCATTTTAGCCCAATATATGAATAGACAGTTATGAGATAAAACAGTGGCCGGCTTGAAGTGCCGTGTTTGGATTCACTTTGATTCTCCAGACACGCGGGATAAAGAGGCCTGCAGGTAACTTAACCTATGGTCAAAGATTGTATTTGATTCAAGTTAATACACAGAATAACCTATTTATCAATGACAGTTTATTCACCTTTGATTCTCCAGACACCCCTCCCAAACATGGCTAACACCACATGAAGCTGTGGACTCTCCACTTGGCTTACTTCACCTACAGAGAGAGTTGTGCGATTATCTACACACTATATAGTTCTATAAACAGTTCATGTGTGATATTCACCTTTTAAGACTGCGCTGTTCCCCCTGGCTCAGCTGCCCTCATGCTCACTGCATGTTGTGGGTTGAGTGAAAGGCCCTGATTTCCCTCTCCCCCCATTTTGAAATCTTTGCCCCTCCCACCATTTCCTGTTTCCTGTTGCCCTGTCACACTCACCCCCACTTTAAAAGTTCACCGTCCCGGTGAGAGTTCAGATTTTCACCTCCATGATCTGAATGTAAACACATCCTGGCCTCTGACCCGAGCGGCTAGGGCCGCCTGACTATGGGCAGGACGGGGCAGGTTGAAGGGGTTTGGGTGCTGTCCAGCAGTTGGTCTTGCTGAACGTCGTATTTGAGAGGGGGGACTTGCAGGCGGAGGCCCAGGGGCGGCCGGCGGAGAAGGCCCAGGGGCGGCTGGTGGAGGAGGCCCAGGGGCGGCTGGCGGAGGAGGCCCAGGGGCGGCCGGCGGAGGAGGCCCAGGGGCGGCCGGCGGAGGAGGCCCAGGGGCGGCCGGCGGAGGAGGCCCAGGGGCCTGTTGCAATGGTGTCCAGGCAACCATTAGTTCGCTGCCCACATCACTTTCGTCGTCCAAAATGGAGCTGCCCGCTGATACAAGTGGTGGGGGAGATGGCTGGGGTGATGGGGGTTCTGGAACTGGGTACATACAAGGACACACTTTGATTTCCATTCTATTTACATTTGTCTCTGGACCAAGTTTGTTTGCTGGTCTTATTTTGTATACTGCACCTCTATCATCCAAACAGTTCACAATCTCAAAAATTGTATTATCCCACACATCCTGAATCTTATTTCGTCCCAGAGGATGGCTTCTTTTCAAAATAAGTGTACCTGGGGCCAGTATTTCTGTCGCATTGGGGACTACCAGTCTATTCCTGCGCTCGGCCGCCATTTCCAACTGGTTTCTTGCGTGTGCATGTGCAGCTGCTAGTCGGGAATGGTGCTCCACTATCCACTCGTTCATGTTACCAGTGTCAACGTTTACAGCTGTGCCCAATAGGAAGTCGACAGGCAGATTTGGCTTTTGTCCAAACATTAATTCATGGGGGGAATATCCGGTGGAGGCATGTTCTGTTGTATTGTATGAAAAAAGGAGGTGCGGCAACTGTTGGGGCCACTTCCGTTTTTTTTCCGGGGGAAGTGTACGGAGCAAATCGTGGAGTGTACGGTTAAACCGTTCACATTGTCCATTTCCCTCTGGGTGGTAGGGTGTGGTCCTTGTCTTTTCAATTCCATACATTCTGCATAGTTGTTTTAAGAGGTCACTCTCAAAATTCCTTCCCTGATCGCTATGTATGCGTTTTGGGACTCCATAAACATATAGCCACTTCTCTATTAAGACTCTTGCGGTGGTGCTGGCCCTCTGGTCGGAGGTTGGAAAAGCTTGAGTAAATTTTGAGAATACATCAGTGATGATCAGGACATTTTCTCTGCCATCGGAGGCCTTTTCTAACCTTGTAAAATCTACAGCTACCATTTCCAAGGGCTGTGATGCTACAATGTTAGAGGGGAATGTTCTAATCTTGGGATGATTTGCCTTTGCCATTAAACATCGATTGCAATTACGGCAGTACTCTTCCACATCTTTCCACATGTTTGGCCAAAAACATCTTTCTCTCACCAGTTGAATGGTTCGATCAACCCCTTGGTGCCCATGATCATCGTGGAGCTGTTTTAACACCTCTCCTTTGAGACATTCTGGAAGCAGCACCTGAAACACTTCACTGTTAGTCTTTGGTGGTCTATAACAGCGGTATAACACACCTTCTCTCATACAAAGTCTATGCCATTGTTGTGCAAGTTTTCTGACTTCTTTGGGCTCTCTCATCAGTTCTTGTTTTGAAGGGCGGTTAACGCGCTGCCAGTATGATCTGAATATTCCAAGTACTTTGTCCGCCTCTTGCAGAGTTCCCAAATCAGCCTTTTCGCGTGCCGGACATGCTTGAATGGCCGCCACTATGGGGAAGGTGTGAGACGTGGCGTGGACTGATTCATGAACAGTAATGGGAACTTGTATGCCAGGGCCAACAAATGGTTGGGGGGGACCTGGGTGCTGGCGGGAAAGGGCATCTGCATTTCTGTTTGCTGTGCCAGGGCGATATCTGATTTCAAAATTGAATGCAGCCAGCTCAGACACCCAACGATGCTCTACAGCTCCCAGTCTAGCAGTCTTTAGGTAACTCAAGGGGTTATTGTCAGTATAAACTATAAAGTTATTACCAAGCAAATACTCCTTAAATTTGTCAGTTACAGCCCACTTGAGAGCCAACAATTCAAGTTTTCTGGAACTATAATTTGACATATTTCGCTCTGGTGGTCGGAGCCCCCTACTGGCAAATGCTATAGGCCTTCGCTTCCCATTCTGATCTTGTGATAGAACTGCACCTAGGCCTGCATGACTTGCATCAATTTCAAGGACAAAAGGCTTCACAAAGTCTGCATAGGCCAAAACTGGGGCACTGACAAGGTGTTCTTTTAGGGACTGAAACCCCTGCTCACAGGCATCATCCCATCTGTCTGCAATGGAGGACTTCGCCTGGCCTTTGGGTTTATGTTTTCTCCCAACCACGTCAGACACCAGACGATGTAGGGGAGCAGCTAATTTTGAAAATCCCTCAACAAAACGACGATAATATGAGGCAAAACCAAGAAACGACTGCACCTCTGTGGCTGTGGTTGGACGTTTCCACTGTGCCACCGCATTGATTTTCTCCGGGTCGGTAGCCACACCTTCTGAGGATACAACATGGCCCAAATACTTGACTTGGCTCTGGAAAAAACAACATTTTTTTAGTTTCAGTTTCAGGTGGTGTTGTTGTAGACGGGCTAAAACCAGTTCCAGTCTCTGTAAGTGATCCAAAAAAGATGATGAGAACACAATGATATCATCGAGATATAACAGGAGTGATTGGAAAGACTGATCACCAAAAATGCGCTCCATTAAGCGTTGGAATGTGCTCGGTGCATTGCACAATCCAAAAGGCATCCTATTGAACTCAAAAAGCCCAAATCAGAATCAGAATCAGAATCAGAATCATTTTTATTGCCACGTGAGTAACAAAGTTATCACTTGGAAATTGTTTTGGCAGAGAGCGTGCCACTTCGCCATTTGCGGCGCTGTGTGCAGCAAGAAACAGCAGAGAGCAATAACATACAGTTCACAGACAATTGGATAGACACATTGTGCTTTTTATAAACCACGGATTTTTTTCTCGGGAAGAGCACCTCTTCGGCCGGCCCAATGTAGCTGTCAGAGGGGGGCGGGATCAGGGAGGGGGTGAGTAGGAAAACAATAAGGAATGGAGGGGAGGGAGGGAGCAAGATGGATAGGTAGAGGGAGGCGGGGGTGGGGGATCCTTGCTGAAGACTGAAGTAGTGTGAGTTGTTGTAGATTGTGGGACCTTGTTTATGGCCTTGGCTGAGGAATGTGAGATAAGAGTGGAGAGAAGCCACAGGAGGAGAAAAACACATCGCCTGCAATGTCGCAGTCAAAAGCAGGCAGATATTCTATTAATTCCAATTAAACCGAATTGCGGCGCCCTCAGACCCCGTACACAGGGGCAAATCCAAGCCGGGTCAGAGAGATCAAGCCTGACAAACAATGTCATTCAATCTCAATTCCAAAGTCTTATGTCCATCAAGTGAACGAGCTGCGAGGTCTTTGATCAACTGTTCCACCAAAACCACCCTTCTTTGTCCAGACACGGCACTCTCAACCACGACACGGCTAAGCTCCTTGTACATCCCATCAATTTTATCGGCCAGCAGGTCGTGAATCTTGCGAACTGCCATGCCTCCGAATTTGTGGTAGAAGAGGATCGCTCCAAACCCAAACAGGAGGATTCCCACCACCAAAATGCCAAAGATATATACGTCTTCCGAATCTTCAATGGACAGGGTCGACAGACAGAGGGGCTGCCACTTGTTCCAGCTGTCAAGCGTATAACCCGCTGGTGAAGTCCCGTCCGGACACACGGGCTCTCCAGACCCACGCTTACGTGAAAAGATAGAATCAATTGCGTTGAGGGACCAATTAATCATTTCCATTCTGTTAAAGTTGTCTGTGGCAAAGCTCCAGGAAAAAAGACAAAAACAGGAGATAGCAAGCCGTTCAGAAGCAGGAGCGGACTAAGACACGTCTTTGCTCGACGGAGGAGGAAGGAGGAAGCGCAAATGGGGTGCAAAACGCAGTTTTGGCCTTGTCCTTTTCAGCAATGGGCACCTGATTATATCCACTCGCCAGATCGAGTGTAGAAAACCACTTGGCCCCCCCCAGGGAGTCTAATGACTCCTCGATTCTCGGCAGGGGATAAGCGTCCTTCCTGGTTTTAGCATTGAGGAGGCGATAATCCACACACATCCTCATGCTCCCATCCTTTTTCTGCACAATCACTATGGGGGACGCATATGGGCTGCAGCTCTGCTGAATAATTCCACTATTCAAGAGCTCCTGAATATGGGCTTTTACCTCTTCATACTGGGAAGGAGGAAGTCTCCGATAGCGCTGACGTACGGGGACATCGTCTAACAAGGGTACTTCATGTTCAACCAAATTGGTACAACCCAGGTCCCCTTCTCGTTGGCTAAAAACAGTTGAATATTTTGCCAATAGAGCTTGTCCCAGCCGTTGTTGTTCTGCTGTTAGGATAGGCCATGACACATCGGAAAAGTCTAAGGTTGTGCCATCAGTGACATAGTTAGTTTGCAATACTGCCACGTGGCCACCCCCTTCATTTTCAAATGTCACTGGAACTGGGTGTGATTTTGTCTGCACCACATGTAATGAGCCCAGAGCCATATGGGGTTTTAGCCAGGCATCATGACAGCCCACATTCACAACTGGTATCTCTACTATTCCCCTGTCCATAGTCAAGAGAGATTTAGACACCAACACTCCCGCTGGGAGGCGGTTTTCTTCTGGGGGCTCCAGCAACACTGAGGGCAGTATGGTCTTAGCAGTGTTTGGGCATACAACAGGGATAAACTTTAAAGAGCCAGCTGGTACACACACTGATCGCCCCACAACCTTTGCGATACCCAGGTATCCATCATTGATTGACTCAATGGATTGGCACTGTGTCAGTGCCTCTTTCCAAGCCGGGCCAGCTGATTTAATTGGGGGAAACTCAAAAAGTTCGGGGCCTAATTGGACAAAAAGTTCATTGTAACATTGCCTGATTATATTCATACCCAGCAGACCAGGAACTGACCTTTTTTTATTTTTGAGATCAGGGTCTAGGGGACTCTTAACCACTAAGACTCCCATACAAGGAAGATGTTTACCCAGGACAGTGATATCGAGTTCTAAATAACCGATGTAGGGAATGGATAACCCATTTGCAGCCTTAAGCTGTAACCAGTTGCACTGCTTCAATTTATCCTCGCCCTTTGACCTAAAGTGCTCCATGAAGTAGTGTTCAGTTATTGTGGAGACCATTGAGCCTGTATCCAGTAGGCATGAGACATCTAGTCCTCCCATTTTAACATCAACAACTGGGCATTCACCGATTAGTTTGCTTGAGCCTGAGCTCCCCCCTTCTGGTGTTTGGCTCTCCACACCAGAGGGCGCTAGTTTTCCTGCAGCCATGTTTGGGACTCTGCTACATCATTGCACTTGACTGTTGCCTGAGACACATGCTTATTTGTATTTGCGGGTGGGATTTGAGACCTACAAAAGCGCGCTATGTTCCCAGCTTTATTGCAGCGCAAATCAAAGCGATAGGGTTTGGGTTCCCTTTCCTTCCTGGGGGGCGCTTGGGGGTCATGGGTGAGGCCAATGTGTTTCATAATGGCATCCAACTGTGCTTGTTGTTTTAGCAGGCATTCTTTTAATTCTCCAAGTTCTGTAGAGGGTTGTACTGATATTACATTACTTTGTGCCAATGTTGTATTTCCAGAGTCAGAGTGCACCGTGCAAGAAAAGGCGCGGGGCCTTAGTTTACTTGGGTTCCGACCCTCCTCCGCCCATTTGATGGCGATATTACGTAGTGCAGTAAAAGTGACCGTTGGGTCTTGACTGATCTGACGTTTCAGTTCTCTTCTTAACAAATCATCTTGTCCTTGCTCTACAAATTGGTCACGTAATATTTGGTCAGAATTTGGAATGCCCCCTGGTGTTTTGTTTATGACAATGTCCATCAGTGATTTAAGGGCATGCGAAAATTCTCTCAAAGGCTCCCCCTCTCTCTGACTGCGTTGAAAAAATTGAAGCTGAGCAACCACATAGGACTGGGAACAACTGTAGTTTTCTGTAAGAATGGCAAATATTTTTTCTGCAGTATCCCTTTCCCTTGAACTATGGAAATCAAGCTCTGCTTTAGCGCTCCCCTCTAGGTGATCATACAAAAAAAGAATCTGTTCAGCATTTGACATATGTCTTCCTGTGATGCACCTGCGGGCCTCTTCTATCCATTTTTCAACAGTTATCAAATCAACAGACAATTTACCAGAAAACTTTGCACATTTACGTTCTCTTGGCACATATACAAGTTGGGTTGGTACAGTCACTGAAGGGAAAGTGACATTTGATGCTGAAGCAGAGCCACCACTGCCACTTGATGGACCTGCTTGTGGCTCTGTGCTTTGTTGCGCCATCTGTGCCCTTAACTGTTCATTTTCAGCCTGAAGCTGTTGTACCTGGGTTAAAATGGCCTGAATGTCCTCCATGTTTTCAAACAGTCTCTGGTGATGATGGCGTCCCGAAGACCGTCCCGTTGATCTTGATTGAAGTTGACTAGCCGGCCACTGTTTTTTATCCCTGTTAACCTACTTGGGCTACTCGTACTACAAAAATGAGTCTCAATTTTAAATCCTAGGCCAGCAACGCCAAGTGTGACCAGGTCATTGTAATACATCAATTAAACTAAGGAGACTCAAATGGTCAGTACAACATCAATATTTATTTCATGAGAGTATTAAAAGTAATGTATTCAAATGGTTAAAAATCATCAATTCGAGTTTCAAAACAGTTTAAAACCATGCAGTGCAATATTAGTCTCACAGCAAAACCATGCAAGAGGGGTGAGATCAAATACAAATCATTTTAGCCCAATATATGAATAGACAGTTATGAGATAAAACAGTGGCCGGCTTGAAGTGCCGTGTTTGGATTCACTTTGATTCTCCAGACACGCGGGATAAAGAGGCCTGCAGGTAACTTGACCTATGGTCAAAGATTGTATTTGATTCAAGTTAATACACAGAATAACCTATTTATCAATGACAGTTTATTCACCTTTGATTCTCCAGACACCCCTCCCAAACATGGCTAACACCACATGAAGCTGTGGACTCTCCACTTGGCTTACTTCACCTACAGAGAGAGTTGTGCGATTATCTACACACTATATAGTTCTATAAACAGTTCATGTGTGATATTCACCTTTTAAGACTGCGCTGTTCCCCCTGGCTCAGCTGCCCTCATGCTCACTGCATGTTGTGGGTTGAGTGAAAGGCCCTGATTTCCCTCTCCCCCCATTTTGAAATCTTTGCCCCTCCCACCATTTCCTGTTTCCTGTTGCCCTGTCACACTTATATAGACGATTATCTGATTATCTGCGCCAGTTCACGGGGCGCTGCAGTGAGAGAGACTGCCACAGTGCTCAGTCACTTGACCAGCCTGGGTTTCAGAATAAACCACGCAAAGAGCCGGTTGGAACCCGGACAGCAGACTCAATACCTGGGCTTATGCATAAACTCTGTTTCACATCGAGCCACACTGACAGAAGAGAGACGGCTGTCTCTCACTCGCTGCTTGGCGTTTTTCAACCCGGGTGCGACAGTCACGTTCAGAACGTGCCTGCGCCTCGCTGGTCTCATGGCGTCAGTAATTTCTGTCGTGCGCCTAGGCAAACGCGTCTCTGATCGTGGACGCTCTGGCCCACCCGTGGCCGACCGTTCTACTGTATGCGTTTCCTCCCATCAGTCTGATCTCACCCACCCTAGCGCGGGTGAGAGAACAGAAGCTGTCGCTCATTTTGATTGCTCCTCGTTGGTTGTCCAAGCTATGGATGGCGAAGATAATACAGCTTTTATGGGACAACCCATGGCCTCTTTCTCTGTGGAGGGACCTGTTGTGCCAGGCGGGCGGGGAGATATTTCATCCTCACCCAGACCGGGTGGCACTTTGGGCCTGGCCCGTGAAAGGTGGAACTTGAACGCCACGGGTCTTCTGGCGCCTGTTATAGATACTATACAGTGTGCTAGGGCCTCCTCCACTCGCTCTTTGTATAGCTGCAAGTGGCGGGTTTTTGAGGAGTGGTGTGGGGCTAGACAGATCATCCCTTTCCAATGCTCCGTGTCTGACGTCTTATGTTTTTTGCAACATTTGTTAGAAGAGCATTGCAATACGGGAGTTGTCCATGAAAAATAACTCGTTACTTAACAAACCCCGGTTCTTTAATAACAGAGTGAGGTGTTTCACCTTCGTTGCCCTCCTTGCAAAGCGGTCAGAAAGCTTTTGAATGATTCCAAAAGGAGGAGGTTGACTGTACCAGGGTAGGTGGGCGGTGCTAGGTACTGTCAACCTGTCAAAAGACAGACGTGGTGCCATTGGAGCTTCCATGGATGGTCACGCCCAAGGCGATTCCCATAGTGAAACACCTCACTCTGTTATCAAAAAACCGGAGTTACGTTAAGTAACCTTAAGTTATTTTTGGCTCTATCTCGTCACGGCACCTTTGAACAAATCAATTCAAAAAACTTACGTGCAAATATTATTTTGGCTTGATATTTGGGGACCCCCTTCACCTTGTAGGCCCAGCTGCGTGCCAGTTTACAGGCCGTCTCTCCTCCTTCTGTCCCTGTGGGCAACAGCAGCAGGTTCACCAATCACGATACAGTGTTCTGACAGCTTTCGATTTTAATGACAATATGGTTGTGCTTATTAAATTCATAGTTTTGTATCGCCCCAAAACACAGCAGCAGTCGTCTCAAAGTACAAAGTTGTCAATTTCTTAACAACAGTTCAAAAACAGAAAATGTATTTGTAAAAAGTCCAGTCCACATTCACTTTTCACGCTGGCTAATTTAACCTTATATTTACAGTTTTTTTTCTTTTGGTTTGCCTCATTGCTTGACATTTAAATTACATTCTGGGAAACACACTTACAGATAGCACACATTTCAGAAAGATCAAGCTACTAAATATCAGCATCAATCTAACTAAGGCCAAATATGCCCCTCTGTGTAAGATTATGTAGCCTTCTGCTGATAACGCAAAGCAGCTTTCACAGCGTCATCCAGCCAACTTCAGCTCCACCACTTTAGCCCTATACTCAGAACCCCTGGAATCCAGCCATCAACTTTATATGTATATAATGACACATTTTTAAGGTTGTGTCGCATATTCCACATATAGTGCTAATGCTGCTGTGGTTAGAATCTTTATGGACACATCAAACCTCATCCTAAAACCCAGAACAACCAAACTCAAGCTAACCAGTTTTAGAATCCATGCGTTCGGCCGATGGACAAGTTTAAGGTGAACTGACCCTGTTACTAAAATGTTTGGTGTGTGTGTGTGTGTGTTCTTACCAGTGTTAGTGGGCAGGACCTTGTCGTAGCCAAACACAGAGCAGATGTACTCTTGGTACAGGCCCAGGAGGCTGTGGTGGAAGGCCCTGGAGGTCTGGGTGAGCTTGGACGTCTGAGTGTGCAGAGCCTCCAGGATGCGTGGGTGTCTATGGCCGTGGTTCAGGGAGCTGCAGGCGCTCAGGAAGTCATAGTACTGGTGTCCATCCATGTCCCACACAAACACACCTGCAGACGTTTACAGAGCACACCTCACATTTACGCTCAAATACAAATACTGATTTTCATCCCAGCCGCTTCACACTCGGCTGCAAACCGTCTCAGAGCATGCTGCAGGTCCTGGTTCGTTGGAGCCAACAAGACAACATCGTCCGCAAACAGCAGAGATGAAACCCTTTGTTCCCCGAACCGGACTCCCTCCGGCTCCTGGCTGCGTCTAGAAATTCTTTCCATAAACACAGTGAACACGGTGACAAAGGGCGGCCTTGGCGGAGGCCAACATGCACCGGGAACAGGTCTGACTTACTGCCGGCAATGCAAACGCAGCTCTGGCTCCGGTCATACAGGGACCGGACGGCCCTCAGCAGAGGACCCTGGACCCCGTACTCCCGAAGAACCCCCCAAAGGACACCACGGGGAATACGGTCGAACATCTTCTCCAAATCCACAAAGCACATGTGGACAGGTTGGGCGAACTCCCATGAACCCTCGAGTATCCGATGGAGAGTATAGAGCTGGTCCAGTGTTCCGCGACCGGGACGAAAACCACACTGCTCCTCCTGAATCCGAGATTCGACCATCGGCCGTAGCCTCCTCTCCAGTACCTTGGAGTAGACCTTACCGGGGAGGCTGAGGAGTGTGATCCCACGATAATTGGAACACACCCTCCGATCCCCCTTCTTGTAGAGAGGAACCACCACCCCGGTCTGCCACTCCATTGGCACCGCCCCCGATCGCCACGCGATGTTGCAGAGACGTGTCAGCAAGACAGTCCTACAACGCGTGTCTCGAGTGTCCGAGACACGCGGCCGAAGGTCAGATGATTCGACAACAGAGTCAATCATCGACCTCCGGCCTAGGGTATCCTGGTGCCACGTGCACTGGTGGACACCCTTGTGCTCGAACATGGTGTTCGTGATGGACAAACCGTGACTAGCACCAACAACTGAACACCGCTCAAAACAATACAATAAAGCTTTATTGTTTGATGCCAGCCTTAAATTATGTCTTATTCATTTTCTTCATGTCTTCATTTATTTCCTTTATATTGATATTTTGTTTTATAATTTCACAACACATGATTATTATTTTCTGTCAAGACAGAAGCAATCGCCTTGTGGATTCACCTCTGGTTTCACGGTCTGGTCAACCCATGGATCTATTTACATATATACTCCATAAGCTGTAGGTCTAGCCGGGGCTCTGTAGGTTCCAGCCACTAAGCATCCTAGGAAGGGCCGTGCTTGTGGGTCAATCCTCCTCAATCTGTGGTTCAATCCTCCTCACTCTGTGGGTCAGACCTCCTCACTGTGGGTCAGACCTCCTCACTGTGGGTCAGACCTCCTCACACTGTGGGTCAGACCTCCTCACACTGTGGGTCAGACCTCCTCACACTGTGGGTCAGACCTCCTCACACTGTGGGTCAGACCTCACACTGAAGAAGATGGACAAACTCTAGGATCGTGTCTTTAATTCAGACAGAAGACATGTTTTTTTGTCGATGGTAGAGACAGCATGAACACGAACAGATGTTACAGAATGGAAGTGATAATATACAGTATGGAGGAATGAACACCATCCAATCAGCTATCACCACGGTGCCAGTAGCTTCAACCTTGAGATACCAAGACATGTAGTGGAAAAGTACTGTCTCATGCATATAAGAATGATGAGTTAGAACTTTACCCACAGTTGCTTCAAAGTGTCATGAAATCTCTAAAAGACCTCCTCACTGTGGGTCAGACCTCCTCCTCACAAGTTTCTCCAAAGGACTCAGAAGCATTTATTTTTTACTTTTTGATGTACGCACCTTCACCCCTATCCAGGATGACAGGGACCGGCTGGTAAATGGGTGCCCCATACTTATGCTCCAGAGAGAGGAGCTCCTCTGAGGTGGAGCTGCCCCGAGGCTGAAGTCGTGATGGGGCAGAAGAAGCCAGACGTGCCATGGGCCGAAGGACCAGGGAGGCCCTGGAGAGGCAGAGGCTCAGCATGTGCAACATCTCTGGAACACACACATTTGCACAAAGGATTCAAAAGTGGAATTTCAGACTGGAAGCATAAGCAAGCAAGCACTCTTTGTTTATATACCGCCTTTCACAGGTCAGAGTCACAAAGCGGTTTACAATTGTTATTTTCGGGCATTTGTCTCCCACTACACAGAGAGCAGGGTCGCCAGTACAGGAGGCGCATGCCAGACCAATTGTACATGTTTTTAGTGGTAGGAAGCACCGGAGCACCCGGAGGAAACCTATGCAGACACGGGGAGAACATGCAAACTCCACTCAGAAAGGCCCTGTTCTGACCAGGATTCGAACCCAGCACGTTCTTGTTGAGAAGCAAGAGTGCTATCCACTCTGCTCAGATCTCCTGATGCCCCTGCATCAGTCATCACACTAAACCGGTACCGCGTTGCCAATGAGACGTGGTACCAGCTGTGAAACGACTTTAAAACAAATGCTTTATTATTATCACTAATACTTTGTTGGACCCTGTTTCCTCAGGGCCCAGGGAGAAAGCATATGCTTACTTACACACGCATAATCAACAGCATGTTTGTGTGTACCACTGAGGAAACATTCACTTCACTGAACAAACTTCACTGAACAGGTCTGACCTGTCTCAGTGAGAAGTGATGAGTTCAGGAGGGGAGTAAAATATTTGAGGAAACCCCTCAGGTAATCTCTTGTGTTGTCAAAAGGTGGGCTTCATCTTACGTACACAGCTCTGCTTGTGTACAAGTCTCTCCATGGCCTCGCACTAAAGTAAACTAGTGACGCAGAACAAATTTCCCTCTAAGACCATTAAGTGGTTCCAATATAGATGACATTTTTTGTATATTTAATGGCAACACAGCTGAACTTGAGATAAAACTTTATTGATGTAATGGAGAAATGTACATGTCACATTTGGCATAAATACTAGGACCACTCAGGGTGTGCAAAAGACAGGGAATGTGCAACATGTTAAAAAAGTGAAATGACTTAAGATTGTGTCATTACAGTTTTTCTCAGTCGCTTTGGTGCATTTCTCAGATCAGACTTAAAGTTCTCAAAACTATTAGTTTAACCTCCACAACACTGAGTCATGTGTGACATCATCGCAGCAGTTTCTCCTTTGAACAGTTTACAAATGCTTTTGGACATACAAAAATTACTTTCATACAATTCTCTGCTGTTTTATAACATTATCATTTGCTTCTGTCCTGTCAGTCAGAATGAAACATTCAAACAACAAACAAACAACAAAGCTGAATAGTCTTTCACTATTAATCTGATAGTTCTCAATTCAAGCCAAGGAAAGTTTATTTGCATAGCACAATTTTGTTCAGTGTGGACAGTAGCTCAGTTGGTAGAGAATTGGCCTTTGGGCCTGAAGGTCGTGGGTTCGAGCCCACCGTAAGACCTACTTCACGACTCCCACTGATGACTGCTGTCGTTGTGTCCTTGGGCAAGACACTTAACCCTACTTTGCCCAAAGCCCCAACTGAAAGATCTCAGCTCCTGTGGACTCACCACCTGCAGGAGGATCAGTGAGGGGCTGGTGGACTGGGTGCAGCTCTGACTGCCGCCCCCCCGACCCAGAAATGGATTAAGGGGAAGAAAATGGATGGATGGATGGAATTTTGTTCAGCACAAGTGCTGAACAAATTAAGATAGCATTAAAATCATAAATAATCACAGTACATTAAAAAGAAAGATCTATAAAATGTTTTTGACCTGGATTTAAACATTGTCAGAGAAGTGGCCTGTCTCAGACTTTCAGGAAGATTGCTGCTGCGTTTTGAATGTACTGCAGCTTTTTTACAGCCTGATTGGAGAGACCTGTGAGCAGGCCATTACAGAAGTCTAACCTACTGGAGACAAATGCATGGATAAGAATCTCTATGTCGTAAAAATACTGTAAACACAGTTATTGACTGTATTTCTATT